TCAGGACTTACTGGACATCAGACAATTCACATGAGAGAAGCCTTTTGGAATGTAAACAGTGTGGTAATGCCTTCTGCCAGAAGGTAGGACTTATTTGACTTCAAAGAATTCATAGTAGACATTATGGACATACCTTGCATGTGTAAAGTTGGTGGGAAGGCCTTTCTCAAGAGCAAATAGTTTGCCCAACACCGAAGGATTCACACTGGAAAGAAGCCTTACGAATGCAGAGTCTTAGGAGGTAGTATGTATCAGGAGTTGAGCTGGACCATACTCTTCACTGAAAAAAATTTGAATTCAAACTAAAAGGGAACTCAGAAGAGAAAGAAAACCCTCAAATAAATATAAAATTATAGACCTCTGTTCCCCAGGATTTGTGACAAAGTAAATAATACATAGTTGTATCGCAAACATTCTGAAAGCCACAAAGTTGTTGTTTTTGCCTGACTCCTATGGAGCCAAGTCACCTAAAAACTTTCTCTTTGAAAGTCAGGGCCAAAGTGTCTTTATTTTTAAACTTCAGGTAGACATTAAAACACATTTTCAAGCAAGTTCTGGCAGCATTTACCCATATTTCTAACAGCATTTAAAATTTTCAAAGAAGGATAACATCCACAAGAGATCTTGGATTTTTTAGGGATTTTGCAAACAAGTAAGGTTAGTCAGCAACTAGGAAACTTGTTTGTAGCAGGTTTCTCTGGTAAAGGTCTGTTATCCAAGCTATATAAGGGATTGATACAAATTTTTAAGTACAAGGAGCTATTCTCCAATAGATAAATAGTCGAAGGATATGAGCAGACAGTTCTCCTATGAAGAAAGGCAAGCTGTCTATAACAAAGTGAAACAATTCTCTGAAATCTGAATAAAAACAACTCTGAAGCTCAACTTTATACCCATCAGATTGCAGAGATGAACAAAAAAAAGGAAAATGGCAATTGTTGATAGTTTTCAGAGGACGGGCTCATTAATGACTGTTGGTGGTGCTGTTAATTGGGCCAGCTGTTCTGGAAGGCATTTCAATTACCCTAGTCAATAAACTTGCATACCCTTTGACCTAGCAATAAAAGGCATATAAATCCCCAAAGAGTGAGTCAGTGAACATTAAGCACTGTGCTAAACACTAAGAAATCAAAGAAAGGGCAAATGGACCCGTATATCCAAAAATAAATGTAGCAGCTTTCTTCTTGTCTGTGTAGCGAAAGAACTGGAAACAAAGTGAACGCTCGTTGTTTGTGGAGTGGCTGAACAAATTTTGGTATATGAATGTAATGGAATATTACTGCATTGTAAGGAATGACAAAAGGGATGGAGTCAGAGAAAACTGGGAAGATTTTATGAACTGGTGAAGAGTGGAGTGAGCAGGATCAGGAGAACAATTTATACAATCACTACAACATTGTAAGGGGAAAGAACTATGATTAATAACCAATTATGACTCTAGAAGGCTGATGATAAGTCATGGTTCCCATCTCTTGGCAGAGAGATAATGCACTAGATGTGCAGAATGAGACGTATGTTTTCAAGTAGCCGATATGTGGATCTGTTTTCCTTACGATATTTATTTATTAAAGGGGAGGGCTTTTATTGGAGGGGAGTAGGAGGGCAGGAAAGGGATGCCAGAAAACAAGGAAGTCAAGATCACAAATGAAGCCTTAAGAACGCACTAAAAGTAGAAGGAAATGCAGAGGAGGGCATAGACAAGCCAGGAAGTGTTGCGACTGCCATGTTTTTATCATACACTTTAAAAAAGCAATCTATGTGTAATAGAGATTTATGGCAGCGTACACAAACCTCTTTTTCCATTCCTTGTATAAGGAAATGTTCATCTTAGTTTAATGTAAGTTTGTAATAATAAAAAAAAAATCAGAAACAAAACCCACCAAGGCTGCACTGTCGCGGCCGCAAGCAAAAGGGAGTTATTTTTCACCCTTTTTTCCCCCGAATCTGTCTTCTTGGATTGTAATCAGTGCAGCTTTGGGGAAAGCTCCTGGGGTGGGAGTTGGTCTCTCGAGTCATTTTGGGGCCACCTTTTGGGTTCCCAGGGAAGGCGCTCATCACCACCTTAATGGAGCCAAGATAGATTTTGAAAATCCGTGTGTTTGTTGCTACCATTAGTCCAATAGTGTTTCAACATGCCTGAAAATTAATTTTTTCCCCCAAAAGCAGTTAGTCTGCTAGCTTTAGGACTGCAGGTTTTCTGAGGCTTAGGAGAGCTGAGTAGTAATAGGAACGGATTCCTGGGGGAATGAAAGGTAGCTTTTGTTGTGGTTCCAAGTGAGTATCAGAACTTTACATAGACCCAAAATTCAGGTAACTGTAAAGACACATGAATTAAATATGTTAGGATTTAAAATAATAGAAGGAAACAAGCCCTTATGAAGCACCTCACTGTGCTAAGTGCTTTACAAAATACTTGATCTTCACAACAACCTTGGAAGGTAGGTGATAACTGTTATTCTCATTTTATACTTAAAGAAACTGAGGCAGACAGATTAAGTGCCTTGTCCAGGATTACACAGCTAGCAAGTGTCAGGGGCTGACTTTGGCCTTTAGGCCCAGTGCTGTATCTATTGTACCACCTAGTTGCCCCTATGATTTGGAAAGCATTAATCAGTATTTACAAAAGCCTATCTCTAAAATAGAAATTAATAATTCCACAGGAACAGGTGCTTTCTTCTGTGACAAATGAAGTAAGTGCAGAGAGATTATATTTACTTGTTCAAAGTAGACACCAGGGCTCTGAATGCAAAAGAAGCTTTTACACAGTGCCTGCACACATAGGTGCTAAATAAATATTTATTGACTATTTAAAAAATCTTTCAAACTCGGAATATAGATGATTTTTCTATACCTACTCAGAGAATGAAGTCAAGTTAGATTTTATTACACACACACACACAGAGTTGTTTAGTCACTTAGTTCTATCTGACTTCATGACCCCATGGACCATACCATCCATGGGGTTTCCTTGGGAAAGATACTGGAGTCGTTTGCCGTTTCCTTCTCTACTGGATTGATGCAAACAGAGTTTAAGCCCAGGGTCACATAGCTAGTGTGTCTGAGGCCAGATTTGGGCTCAGGCCTTCCTGACTCCAGGCCCAACACCACCTAGCTGTCTGCTCATGGACAGACTGAGCCAATATAGTAAAAAAATAACAATACTGCCTAAACTAATTTACTTCTTGCAGTGATAGACCAATATCTCCCAGGGTTTCCCTCTCTCATGTAACATGTAATAGATTCGATTTTCCTTGAAAAATCACAAAGCCAATACTAGATTGGCCTGAGGGAGGGGTGAGGCTCAAGTTGTGTCTTCCTTGATGCAGCTTCTTCGAGGCCTCTGACTATAGCTTCCTGGTCACTTAAAGGTGTAAAAAATCCAACCCACAGGGGTTGATGCCCTTCAGATTTGGTGGATGCCCAAAGAACACAGGAATCATCACACCTCGCCCTGCTGACCAAAGGACTTTCCATGTGGTGACAAGGGGGACGGGGTCTACCCATACTATGAGCTTCTGTGTATTTTTAATATCTTACAGCTAAGTAAACCTCCTTTTATTAACTGTTCAATGGCCTATGACTGTCTCATTTGTTCTACCATGAACTTGAACTAACGGTGCAAACATGAGACCTACTTCTAACTACCAAAAGATTGCATTATACAACTAGAAAAAAATAATTCATCTGGAGGAACAAAAGATAGAATAAAAAAATGGGAAGAAGGCCTAGCAGTATCAGATCTCAGACTGTACTACAAAGTAGTAATCATCAAAACAGTTTGATACTGGTTAAAAAATAGGAAGGTCAGTGAGTAGAGCAGATTAGATATATAACATATCAAAGGTGGTCTAGTATTCTAGTGTTTGACAAACCCAAAGATCCCAGCTACTGGGGTAAGGACTCAGTGTACAACAAGAATTGCTGGGAAAACCGGACAGTGGTAGGAATTAGGGTTAGACTAGCACTTCACACCACATGCCAAGATAAATTCCAAATGGATTCATGGCCTCAATATAAGAAGTCAGATCATAAAAGCAAATTAGAAGAATAAGGAAAAAATTATCTTTCAGATCTAATTTGCTTTTATGACCTGACTTGGAAGTCCTCCGTTTCATTAAATATCCATTTCTCCCCTGTAGGATTATATTCTGTTTTGTTGGGTAGGGGTTTTTTTGGTCATAATGCTGTAATCTTTGCCTTCTGCAATATCATACTAAGCCTCCATTTCTTTATAATGTTGGCTGCTAAATCTTATGTGATATTGACTGTGGCTTGGCCCCAAAGTCATTAACAGTAGATGAGACAATTCTGAATCATGAGGAGACATTTCCGTTGCCCAAAAAACCTGGTGCCTGTAGTTCTGTGGCACCACATTCCTTTGCACATCCTTTTGACCTGGTTCCAGGTAGTTACTCTTTCCAGGTGAATTGCAGTC